ACTGCGAAATCAAATTAGTATAAGAGCCTGAACAGACAACAGGCGAGTTTCACCTTGTAAGTTAATAAGGAACTGCTACTCATACAGTATATAATTCCACTGCAAACCCTATAGCCCGCATCACGTGTTGTCTTTTTTTTTAAAGTGTGGAAACCCCGTTGGCTATCACCCCACCGACTAAAAATAGGAGGGGTCCGGGAACAGCTGATATTAAGACATCCGGACCCCTCCCAGCGCCTGCCCGCAATAGCGCGGGCACCTCCTTTAGGTAAATTCCTCCTTGCGGCTGACCACTATAGCGGAGGAGAAAACCCGTCCCGTCCTCTCCGCCGCCTCCTTCGAAGGATGCGATCGTGGTAAAACATCTTTCAGTAGCGTGCTGCCACCTTGCCCAATCGACAATGACCGGCTGGAGCGCCTCCACAACGGCAAAGCCAGCACATGGAGCTTCCAGCCGGGACGACCAAAGCGCCTTCGGGGCTCGGCGAGTGGTCTCACGCCACTCACGTACCTCTCCGGGCAGGGGCCGACTGCCGCTATTCGCCCGGAACTGAGCCGTCAGCCAATATGCTTTGGCGAGCTCTTCAGCCTCCAAATCAAATGGGGGAGTTCCGGCCAGGCGCATGCTGCCTCCGTCGACACGGTGCGGTAACCGCGTATGTCCCTAATCGGCTTCGCGTACTGTCTGCCTCAACCTTAAAACCATGTGGTACTACCGCACGATTTTAACGCAATTTGCTATATTGCTCTACTAACCTGCGGCGAGTCGCAATCAATGACACTTAAATTATTGAATAAGTGTAATTTTATTTAAACTAGCTACTCCATAATGAAATCTATTCATAAATATACATATATTATTATTCATATAGATTGAAAACTGATGAGATGTACTCATTCTAGCGTGTAAAGGTTCGGACTGATTGGAAGTAATTAACTAAATAAATTAAATGAATGAATAAAAAATATTACTTTATACTTAATTAGTAAATTGTGACTCTTATAAGGATACTATAAAACACAACGAATAAGTGCAGGTAAACCTTTTAAAAAAGAAAAAACTTTATAAACTTTTGTAGTTTATAAACTAGGGTAGTTTTTTTTTCTTTTCTAATGTAGTTAGGGAACTCCTGTTCGTGAGACCGTACCATTTCAGCTTACTTTCTTTTATTAGCTAAGGTTCCTTATATGTTCTCCAACATCGTACGGCGGTACATCCACCTCATCATCTCGGTTGAATTAGGAGGGAGAATAATTAACTTTTAAAAAGTATCACCGACTTATTTTTATTCGTATTTGTTCCTCAATTGTCTTACTTTATTTTGTATATATTTTTAAATAAAATCCGGCCGGCCGTCGGGGTGGTTTTTAGTGGAATCACCACATACTCCTGGCTCCTGAGTCCCCGAGGAGCAGGAGACCCGAAGGGATTTTCCACACCGTTAAAAAAAAAGAAAAGGTTCTCAGGTAACAAACATGAAAAAAAATATTGCCGAAGTGAGAACCTCATCCGTTTTGGTCGTCAATGTAACACTATCTATAATTCTACATTATCACATTACATCAACAGCTGTTAATAGTCCACCGCTAGACACATGCCTCTCCTTGAAAATTACGTTTTGGCCTACTGTACCACCCTGGCCAAAGGAGGGTTGGTATAGGGTTTGTGTCATTGTTTGTGTTCTCTTTGCAGTGCTGTTGTCCTGGTAGTTTACTCCCTTAGTCGGCTCCTACGACACCCACGGGATGAACAAGAATGGTGACACTCCACATTCTTAATCCGTCACCACACATCTACATATCTATAGTCAATAGTTTAGCAACGATAACGTTATAACAATATATAGTTTCAGAACAACAACGAGATGAAAACACCTTAATACCTGAACGTAAAAACAATTCCAATAAGGCTCTGTTTATAGACCATATAGTTAGAGTTTTATTGATATCTTTACAAGAATATTGTCGCTAAGTTGCTAGTGTAAAGGTCAGTTATAGACTTAGAGATAATAACGAATACAAGTAATTGTTTTTATCTGATTATTTATGAGGCGATTCTTTTACTATTCTGTTTTATATTAAAGTACCTAGGTATACTTGCATAAGTAGCTTAGTTCATTGCATTGGTCTCTTTAAGTATTCTAGTTTCTGGCTTTTTCTAACATGAGCGCAGAAGAAGCAGTAGATCACTTTTCCCTGGCTTTACTAATTTTGATCACTTTTTCATTTGACCCAGAAGAACGAAAACGAAAATAAATTTGATAATCTCCCAAATCAAAAGAGCATTTGTGATCATCGCCATCTTTTTAAACTTTTCGCAACTTAATTCGAGAAAAGGTTGATTTAAGCCAGAGCATGCAATGTTGTATAAAAGTTTAGAATAAAAACAATTCATATAATAATATTGTGTTAAGAAACACGGAACATACGCATGCATATGCATAATTAAATAGGTTTATATTTATATAAACCTGTTTAATTGAAAGATATTAAGGTAGAAAACCAACATTTTCTGATACACAAATAACACAAACTATTAAAATTTAAACATATTTTTGTTTCTAACTAATTTACATTAGTTGACATTTACAGAATAAAAATAATATAGTTCATCATCGGTGCAGCCTTGTCCTTGTTTGCTTTATTTGTGTTAGGCTCCTTTTCCATTCTACTTTGTCAGGAAAGCAATTTCGTTCTCAGCCGAAAGACGTCCACTACTGGATATAGGCCTCCTCCACGGCCTAATGCCTCATTTTTAATTTCTATGTTTGATCGATTAGATATTGTTTACCCAACTTTACGCGTCTTCTTAAGGGCAAAAAATCACGTTACTTCCAATTAACGAAAGCCTTCACAAACGTAATTCTAATTACATGAACGAGATGTGGCCACCTCTGGCCACTCCTTGCGCGTATCACGTTAGATACTGCGTCGTCTTTGACGAAGTCCTTGCGCAACTGACCATATTTTATGTAAACATGTTTGTGTTGATATCAATGAAGTGTACGCGAGGTGACTTGTGCAACAGATCCTGCACGGTGAGCTCCAAGGCTCCGTTTTGTTATTGTTGACGAATGTAGACCGCCGTCGTAAAAACATTTGTCACCTCAAACATTTTGTGAATGTGGTTTCTGTTCAAAATGCCTAGTACTTAGGTATTTTGTATTGTCAATTCAGACGGTTGGTTCTTTTAGGAAAAATAATTCGCATCCCGTATATGTTCTACACTATTTGAGTATTTCAAATGTACTGTAATATAATGTATGTGTTGTGTATTGCCAGTTAAGTAGGGAAGATACTTTCAGATATTTTCTTCTTTAATTGATAAGAACTAAGTATGCTAAATTAGGATTCAAATTAGGGTACTTTTTTTATGTGTGGAAACCCCCTAGAGCCGTCACACCACCGGGGTGGTGTGTCGGACTCGGACCGACTCAAACTCAAACTCAAACTCACACTTTCTTTATTTCATAAAATTTCCAAAATTCTTTGAAATCGTCTTCCATGTAGACTCTAAAGTCATAGATCAACACACACAAAAGCAACAATCTCTGTTTTGTCAAATAGTAACCAAATAAATTTAACAAAAATCAACCCATACAAAATCTATGATATGCCTGTGCCGATCTACAACCGCCCGTTTCCAAGGGGTTGAGCCTTATGAGAAGAAAGGGCAAACAAACTCATGGCCACTCTTTTGCAATTCACAGGTAGATACAATGGCACTATTAAATATACCACAACATTGTTTTGAAATGTGCTAGTATGTCCGTTATTAAGGACTAAAAGGTGAAAAGACAATGAAGAGAAAACAAGATTAAGAAGAAAAAAACGAATACAAGAGAAAATGAAGTGAAACATAAAAAATAGAAAAAATAATAATAATAAAAAACATACTAGCCACAACACATTTTTACTTAAGAAAGAAATAGCCTGCGCTAATTAATCCCAAGCATTCTTGTCCTCCATGTAATCCACAATCGAGTAGTAGGCCCTCTGGCACAAGCCACGTTTTATTGCGGATTTAAATTTGTTAATACTCAACTCATGAATATTATTTGGGATTTTATTATAAAATCGGACACATTGACCTCGAAAAGACTTGTTTATCTTATGGAGCCTAGAGGCGGGTACTACAAGTTTATTGTTATTTCTGGTATTTATGGCATGTACATCACTTTTTTTCAAAAAGCTATCTTTATTTTTATGAACATATATTACATTTTCATAAATATATTGACTTGCCACTGTCATTATATTTATTTCTTTATTTTTCTGCCTCAATGAACAACGATTGCCTAAATTACAAAGTGCTCGAATCGCTCTCTTTTGCAGCACAAAAATAGTGTGAATGTCGGCAGCATTCCCCCACAGCAGAATACCGTACGACATTATGCTATGAAAGTAACTGAAGTAAACAAGTCGTGCTGTATCAACATCAGTCAACTCTCGGATTTTCCTTACTGCGTATGCTGCTGAGCTGAGTCTACTCGACAATTTATCAGTATGTGGGCCCCACTGTAGCTTAGAATCTAGTGTTATACCTAAAAAGGTACCAAGGTCCAGCCCGACATCCTTAACTATCACAGTAGTTTTCACTGGCTTGACGTTTGGCATAGTGAAAAGTATACACTTAGTTTTTTGAGACTAGAACCAAGTGTGCCAATCTGCGCCTGTAATAGGAGGGTTCCGAGAACTGCTGTTATTAAGACATCCGGACCCCTCCTAGCACATCCGGACCCTCCTAGCAAATTAGGGTACGTAGGCTAGGCTTTAGGTATTACTATTTCAACATGACCATGAGCCTTAATTTATAGAGGAGGCCATAAATGATTATATTTTAAAATCAAACATCATTTTGTTATTTATAAATGTAATATTTTAGCAACATTTTCTTCACCACCAGCCAGACGCATATCTTGCAGGTGCTGCCTTGATCACTTTAACGACAACAGGGCTAAGAGACGAATGTGAACGAGGGTAGGAGTGGTGGTGCAGAGATGAGGGCGAATGGTGTAGAACAGAGTGACTTAAGTGGAGAGGTGATGAATGATGAGAGTAGCTACTTAACGGTAGACTGTGAGACAATGGTGCCGCATGGAGATATGGACTGGAATGGCTCAAGGACAAGGGGAGGTCATGACTTAAGTGGGCTGAGTGTAAGGGAGCAATGTGTAATGGTGTGGAATGACCAATGTGTAGTGGAGCAGCATGGGGCACCAAACCTTCGTGTGAGCTCAGCAAGGGAACAGAGTGCAGGCTCGAGTGAAGTGGTTCTGAGTGTAAGCTGTGTTCAGGATAGGAGTGGGCGTAGTGACTATGGGAGTGCAGTGGCGAGTACAGCGGTGCGGCGTGGAGGCCGTGAGAACTCAGAGGAGCGTGGTGTAGTGAGCTGTGTGAGTGCAGGTTTGGGGAGAGGAGGCCATCTAGTTCGCCATAGATGCCGCGCTTCTCACGAGATGCTGATACGCTCACGATTAGCAGAACAGTGCACACCTAGAAACACAAGAAAGTACAACATTACTATAAGTATAGAATAGACTAGACTTCAATTCGCCAAGTCATAATAAACAGTAATCAGCTGCATCCCTAAATATATCTCTCTTAGAGTCAGAATACTTTTTTGTTCTTGAATAGGATCAATCTTCGGTACTATAAATTCGAGTGCAAAATGTTATAAAGAGGTTCGCAGATAGGGAAGTTATCGCATAATATAGATAAAAAAGTCCAATTGAGAAACCTTTCAATCGACTTCAAAAAGGAGGTCCTTCGCTAGGTCTTGGGATAGATTCATGATTGGTAATTTGTCCTTGGATTTTACTCTCTGCAACTGCGCTTAGTCTGAATTCGGCACATCTGAGAATATTACCTACTTCTAAATTTATATTTATGATGCTTATAAATAAATGTGTAAAAGCTACCAAACTAATCGAAATCTAACAAATAGATTAATGGCGGCCGCTATGAAGTGACTACTTACACCTCTGATTTTTAAACTTAGATAAACTTTCTTTTAAGAAAAACCACTAAAGCAGCTATTAAACTGGTAGTCTTGTGTTCTCCTGGTTCAAACCTTCCATGTACACAACCAGTCTGACTCGGACGGTAAGCGTTACCTTGCGGCCATTAGCTTATAACAAACTTAGAACTTAACAAATTTAAGTTTATTTTTTTAAATTCTTTTTGCACAAACAACATTTCATTGTACAATTGCGGACTTAATGCCACAGGCATTTTCTCCCAGTTTACCTTTGGGTGGTGGGGAAATGTCTGAGTAGGTGCACTAGAAATTAAGTTTTAAATGTAATGTAATGTATTTTATATATATTTATAGTATAGTAATGTTGTATATGTATAATGTATTATATGTAATAATAATTTAGTTTAACGACTTTAACGAAATGACACCGTCGAGGTTCACCGTATAATAAAGATCACGTGACTGGCTATTTGGCAATAAACCAATTTGTTCTCAAACGTTGCACCAGTTACTTTAACCATTTTAATATGTATTAGAGCGGAATATCCGAATATTTAATCTAAATAAGAATGAAGAAATAATATACGAGGATGGTCCGCTAACGGAGGTCAGCATTTAATTATAGAGCTATTGATAACACCGATGCGATGATGTGTTTTATATCAATTTAATCATCGTTAGATCTCCAAAATAATGAAAATGTTGTTTATGATATGTATGTATATTATAAGTTTCTTAAAATAGATGTATTCCATTCGTTTCCGCTCGGAGTCACAGAAGTTTCGAAAAATTACGACATAAAATGTACCAATTGGTTAGTTAATAAAAAAAAATATGATTTACAATCTTTTGTTACATCTATACGAGTATGAGCTTTGAATTTCGATAAGACTTCGTGAGGCGTTTTAATGTTTTTATAATTTATCAATACTCAATCATTCACTCATTCTTAATGTCACATTAAACTTCCTCCGAGCCTTTTTTAGTCGGCTTTAAGTCGATACGTCTGAACGATTATTTACGCGGAACGACTGCCATCACAGGCCAAAGTGTAAGTTTATTTTACATCTACTCACTCTCGACAGTGAGCGCGTCCGGCGTTGCGATTGGTTAATTTAATATTTTAGTGCGAGCCAATCGTAGCGCCAAACACGCTCACCATGAGGAGCGACTTGATGTGAAATAGACTCGCATTTGGCCCTCAGACCTCCACAACCCAAGTACTCGGCGAAATCGAAGTTCTGTAGAAAGACTGTTGGTGGACTTTTTAGGATGATCGAAATGCAACCGGGACCGACGGTTACCACTTAGCCACGAGCCCTCAAATGTCACAGTATAGTTTTTCATAGTTTAAATTCATTATTATTAAACATATTGGAATGTCGTTCCTTATTGCGCGTTATACGCCCTGAGCGGATGGGAGCGAGACCGAAAAAATGTGTAACAAGACTTTTTTCGACACTATAACAAACGTCTACCAAAAACTGAAAGGAACTTGGTTCCGACCAGGGTTTATAGAGCCCTCACGCTATTTTTTTAAAGTCAACTGCCACACTAGTAATATATCCTGTGTTGCGGGGACTTTGTAAACATACATGAAATTGACAAAAAAAAAAACACCCAGACTCAGAACAACAATTTGTGGATGACACAAAGTGTTGTCCGTTGTGGTGATCGAACCCACAACACTCAACACAGTAGGAAGCGGCGAAGCAGTGCAGTCCAAACTGAAAAACTTTGCTTAATAAGGTAAATTGCAACAATTGCTTGGAACATAGAGCTATGACCAGACACTGGAAGAGTTTATCTAAATATCAACATTTTTGACAAGACAACGTCCCGTCCCGTTGGTGGAAAGTCGAGACTTAGATATTTACTTCAACGTGAATAAATCAAACCTTGCTCTCTAGTAGGTATCTTATAGAATTAGACTAAAACGCCTTATGCTAGAATCATTGCAATACTCCTGCAAGCGCATATTACGTGTGCAATTTAACCTTTAAGAACTCGCGTTTACGGAACTACGTACTACTCCGTATGAGATTCGTTTGAGAATTCAATAACATTTCAACTTGAAAAATAAATTTCACGCACAATATTGAGAGTTTTATTGTGTTATTTTATGAGACTATTTTACGAGACGTCTGGACTCCTAGATTAGGAATAGTCAATTTTCTATTCTCTATTATCAATGTTCTTAAATGGTTTGGAAACTATTAATCTTTAAATTATAAAAAAAGAGATTCATACAACCCTTTTTATTTATTGCAATGCGTTACAGTTCGTTATGTTTTTTCTAATTTCGTCTCCAAAGTGATATGGGGAATGTTCTGAGTTTAACATGCGTCTATGGGAATTAATAGGTGTACCAAAATTAAATTGAGTGGTCCAAAAGATTCAGAGGGAATTGCTTGTATCAAACGAATTTAAATAACCCTAGGGAGAACACGGGGTACAGCTGCCTGTAAGTGGAAGCGATACAGGCAACGAGAGAGATGAATGCCCAATATTTCCCTCTGTCTCTATTTAGTTAAGCTAGGATTGGCTAATTATTAACCCCACATATTCCCCAGCCAACCACAGAGCTCGACTAGAATGAGACAGAGGGGACTATCTATTATTCATCTCTTTCGTTGTCTATATTGTAAGATTGGGGCTCTTGTTCCCTCTAGGTTATATCTTTATGTTATAAACACTCATCGCTCTGTGATTGACAGTAAAACAGTTATGCACAGCGTGTAAGCAGATTTTTTTTGTGCATTTAAATTTTTACTTCAAAATAACTGGAATTAATTTTAGCACTATAATAGAAAAGACAAATATACTCACAAATAGCTTCATATCTCCGTCTGTTGGAAGTCGAAATCGAAACAGTTTTGACACATCATCTCAGTTCCCGTGACAATTTATACGAAGTCAATCAAAATTATGTATAAATGTTACACAAGCGCCCTTGCCTTCTGTCCTAATGAAACGCCCTTACGCAATAATTATAATTCAAAGTTACCCATTAACGGAAATAGCTATAAAGATGAACTTGTGAATATATACTTATGAGGTTTTAATATTCATGTCTTCTGTAAACAAAACCGAAGTGTTATAAATGAATACAGTTCACCTGCAGCACCTTATCCGACCTCTGCCTGATGCGGTAAAACCCTTATTTTAGTTTATCCAATTCCGAAAACTAAAGACAAACTAACTAAATCTTTTCTTTAATTTGACTTTTAACAAAAGAACTGCCTCAAACGTCGGCAGCGTTAGTTACTTACCATGAGGTGACACGTTTATTTGTTTGCTACCTACATACGAGTAATAATAAAATGAACTATTTTGTGTGGAAGTGCTATCTGCTGTTTGTATCGATCCAAAAAAGGGGGAACCAAGCGACATAGTACCACCGCATTACCAAATGCACATCACGTCAACAGCCTTCAACAGTCCACTGTTGGACATGGACCTCTACTTAGAAAGGAGATTTTGGTCTACTATACCACGCTGACCAGACGGATTGGTGTAGGGTTTTTGTCAAGTTTTCCTTCTCTTTGCAGTGGTGGGGTGGTGGCATTCCGTATTCTTAATCCGTCACCACACGAATAACCATCACCAAATTCACTAAACATTCATTTTCGAACTCATGAATAAGAATTATTTATATAAATTTCTATATATATGTTTTGGTAACCATGGCGTTTTCCATAAATGTATTGTTCAATAGGCTTACAATTAAATGTATTTTTATTGTTGTATATGCTTACAATACTGTCTTAAGTCTATGCACAAATTCTGTAAAGAAATTCTTCAGTAAAGATAATTTCGTGTTAATATTATTACAATCTATGGCAAATACTTAGTAAAAAAAATGTGTGCAGTAAATATTTTAAACACATTTAAACGTGAACACGAGTTAAAATGTTCAAGTGAAGAGTGTTGACCCTTATTATGATACTATTTTTCAATAATTCACTTACAGTGCATTAATTCTAAACTCTAGACCTCTGTTTCTCTGTCACGAGTTATGTTTCTTTTATGTTCTTCTAATCTTTTTCTACTGTTATTAATAAATTGGGCTTGTTGTTTTAAGGTTCACTGAATTACTTATCCACTTTTATTATAAACCTGCCTTAAACTAAACGACACCTGTTGCTAATTCATAGCAACCTGCAGATATTCACTTTGCCTTATTCAAAATATCTTTTTTTCATACAAATTTTAAAATTGTTTGAAATCGTCTTTTATGTAGACGTCGTATATCAACACACACACACACACACACACACACACACACACACACAATAGCAACAATCTCTGTTTTATCAAATAAGAAAATATTTTTTTAAAGGAAAATAAAAATTATACATATACAAAATCTATGATATGCCTTTGCCAATGTACAACCGCCCGTTTCCAAAAGGCCTCAGCCAGTAAAATTCAGACTTCTCTGATGATTTCTGCTGTTTTAAAGAAGATTTCTCACAGACAAAGTAAAGTAGATAAAAATACATGCTTTGTGTTTCTTATGTGGCACGGGGTGTGATGACTTTATGTTGCTCGAAAAGG